GCCGCCCTTGGACCTGGAGCTCCACCCCTCCATCCTCACGCTCGTCGCCAAGCTCCTAATCGCCGGCGATAACGCTGCCGAGGCCGAGGCAGAGGACTCCTCTCTGTTATTATAGAAGGAAGTAGAAGGAGAGGGGAGAGGGGAGAGGGAGAAAGAAGGGTACGGTCACCGCCAACTGTGGCGGCGGAGGAGGAGATGAGGTGGCACGCGGAGGAAAGGATGTGGGAGTTCGGGAAGGGGTCCGGTGAGGAAGAGAGGAGGCGGGAGAGGTGGTGGAGGCCGTGGAGGGAGGGGTCAGGGGGTGAGGTTGAGGAGGGAGAGGGAGAGGAGAGGGAGGCGGTGGAGGGAGGAGTTGAAGATTTGGGGGGAACAGGCGGGGTGTTCCTGAAAATTTAGATTTTAGGGATGAAAATTCCGATTTTGGGGGGAAAGGAGGGCGCGCTGGGGTTTTGACGGGTTTATTTTTTTTTTAATGATCGGTTATTCTAGACGGAAATTTCCGTCTAGGATGTACCCTAGACGGAAATTTCCGTCTGGAATACCTGGTTATTTTAAAAAAAATAAAAAAAATAAAAAAGCCGTCTAGAATACTATTCTAGACGGAATTTTCCGTCTAGAATATTTTATTCTAGACGGAATATTCTAGACGGAAAATTTCCGTCTAGTTTAATACATTCTAGACGGAAAAATTTCCGTCTAGAATATTCCGTCTAGAATACGCGCTTTTCTACTAGTGTGACTGCAAAAATTTTGGCACTAAAACGAAGAGGATCTTATATTTGGACAATCTGATGCGGCTTTCTAATTGTTATCGAGCATTATCCATGTTCATATGATATGAATGACAGGATATATTTGCGAAATTAATTACAGGATTTTTGTTTGTTTACCCTTCGAATCTACTGTACTTGTAAATTTACTCCCAAAATCTTGACATTTGTAAATATAACCCTCAAATCTCCAACATTAGAGAAGTCTCCCACTTAACAGTGTTAGGGAATATGCCAAATGTATTCCCTAACTTCTGTTATATATTCATGCAGATGGATATAGAGCAGGATTAAAAATTGACCATTTTCAATGTGGATATAAATGCTTTGTATAATAATTAAAAAAAATTGAAGTCCTCACTTCTGATGACAGCAGTGTTAACAAGTTCATATGCCGAGAAAGCCAAAACAAAAGCCACATTGAACCCACAACTTTCATACAAGCGACAAGATGCACTGTTTGTATGGGCAGATAAACAAATTCTTGTACATGACAAGTAACGAAAAAGTTAATAACACTAATTAACTTTCTATCACCTATTAGCGTCAGAACTGTCAGAAGAAAACCCTGAACATAACTAGCAATGATGTTATGAAGCTGAAATAAAATTCATAAATTATAAAAAATCGCGAGTAGATTTGTAACAGGCATCGATATCGAACAGGTTATGGGCACAAACAGGTAGAACATACTACCTCTGAGTTGCTAGCTGCGCTGAACAGGACGACGATCACAATCTGTCTACCTACATATATACATGCGCAAAGTAGCGTATGCATACAATAGTTACATAATTACATATTGCACCATAAGCTTCAACTAATATGAATATTGAGTCTAACTATTTGAAAACTATCAATCTCTAACCTGTATGGACTCTCAGGGAAATAACATATTGAATAGATCTTCAGTTGAGAGACTAACGAGTTAATAGATGTTGGATTGAATTGTCCTTAGGACCTTAGGACCAAATTATTAGTTCATCTCTATCCTGAACGATCCATCGCAATTTTTCATAAAACTACAATGTACTGCTACAAAGTTTTTTTTTAACTAACTCACCATAATGAACCATCAATGGCAGGCTAGTTTCGCTTAGTTTATACAATTAGCTCTTTCACTTTTAGGTTGGGAATTACAAATTGGGGAATATACTCCTTTTAACAACTTTAATGGTGTTAGGGGATTTCAGTTGATTAAAACATTCGTGGTATTTTTCCCTAGTAAAAATAATTTAGGGCATTTTCCTGATAAACAGTCAATGTATTTTGATAAACCCTCGTTGTATTTTTCTAAAATTTACCCTTTACTGAATTAGTAACTGACGTTTCAGGCTAAATTTAATGAAGTACATTAATGTCATTAGGTTGATTAAAAATTTTGTGGTACTTTTTTCTAGTAAGAATAATTTAGGGCATTTTCCGGATAAGCTCCCATTGTATTTTTCTGAAATCTACCATTTACTGAATGAATAAGTTCAAAGTTTTTATACAATGACGGGATTTTAAGATAGCAGAATAGTTGTGGACTTTATGACATATTACTTTTATACATAATTAATCGAAATAAGTCATTAAAGCAGTTACAAAGCCCCTAGGCACGCTTTGAAAGTAACAATAGTTTTACATTTTTAACTTTTTTATCATAATTACGTTTGCAATTTGATGTAAACTAATACTTGGATGTACATTTGGGTGGATTTGATTTTATATTTTGATCTTTGGAGAGCAAACAAAATTAATTATGTATATTAGATCAAGTTATTAGGCCAGGTTACCCTTTTCTTAAGCAAAACACACGCTCCATTCTTTAGAGTGAGAAAAAGAGGTTGGGGTGGTGGGATGCATGATTGTGGGAGGAATAACAAAAGCAGGGCAAGAATGTGAATTCTCAATTTACCCAAAAAGGCATTTGTTAAAAAAAACAATTTCATGTGCATGGTCTTTGCCAGTATATTTGTAAAGCTATAAACTATATCCTTCTTATTTGCATAAAAATTAAGAAGACAACTATATATTCATCTATTCCAAGAGGTGAATAGAGAATGCATATCGTGTACTAAATAATGATTTGATTTTTGAGAAAAAGGAATTGAGACGAACCTATTTAGAAAAAGATTACATTCATTGAAGGGACGTAACATACATTCATAAATTCATACCTCCTATTAGTTGAGTAAAAAGAGAAAGCACTCGAAATCAATACTTTAGAGTATCAAAATAAGTTCATGCATATGTTTTATTGAAGAGATTCATACATAGGCTAATCAGCCAAATCTCAACTATATAAAGACCATATGCTAGCATAACAAATTTGTGCTTGCATAGTCTCTCTTGGACTGCTATGAATTTTTAACCTTTTGATTCATATCTTATATCCATCAGCCAAAGGTCTCTCATTATCTTATTTCTCTTTATGAATATTTGTATTGCCATCACACTGCTTTTTGGTTCCTTAATTGATTTCCCTCATGTAAAGGTTTAAAATCACCAACGATAGCTTCATCAATATCTTGAGATTCATTTTCGCTCGTTATACAATACTCTTGAATAAAATTAATTCCTATCTTTAGATGTATTTGAGCATTTGTTGCTACTTTTTCCATTCAAATTGTTAAGAATATAACCATATATAAGTATGTCCTTCAATCCTCATAAAACTTATCAGGATTCGGTCAAGTTGATATCTTTGTCACATTATTATCGTATGCGAGGACCAGGAGCTCCCCTGAAGCGATCAACTTGTCCATCCAAAGAGCTAATGGGTCTCTTAATAATGGAAAGCCTATTAAAATGTTTGTGGAACATCTATCTTGAACTTGGCTCTGTTTGGAGGTATTAAATTTTTATTTTCTTTATAATTTATATTCATGCTAGAAGGTCTTGAATTTTATTTTCTTTCCACTCATATTTCACCAAGGGGTTATATGATGAAGTCGAATTTTTAGTATACATCGTAGTAAAACTTCCTATACATCTGATGATAAAATCCATACCCATAATAGTGTCATTATAATCATGCACCAAATAAAAAATTGCAAAATATTATGTATTCTTTACATTTGATCAATAAGGATTGCTCATCAACTCTTCTCCGTTTATATTTTACAGCTGCAAAGCTCATATCTTACTCCTTCACAGAGAAAGTCCTCAACCGTCCCTTCCATTTCGACAAGATGATTGGAGTGAATAATCTACACTGATTTTTGCAAAAAGAAAAATAATTTTCTTTACTTTATATTCTATTTGCATGGGGACAAATACTTAAGCTGAATTCTTTTTTCTTCTTCTTTTTATTAGGGATAAAGCACTGTTTGTAAGTCAGGTATTTCAGAAAAGGGGGTTAGGAGATCCTAAAAACGTGGAGGTGGAGTTGAAGGATTGGGACCTGAGGATTTGGTTGCAAAAACAGAGGGAAAAAGAAGAGTTGGAGGAAATATGTTTTTTATAACGAAAATTTGAAAAATATTATGCAGCTGCTATATATCGAAGATGCATATGCTAATCAACCTCACTATGATCAATTTGGTATATGCATCCTGGAGTACCTGTATGTAATTTTCCCGTTCATTTTCAATTTTGGTTAGAGGTTTTCATGGAAGACTCAACTAGGAATGTAAATTTCTAGTTGGATGATTGATGTGTCGATGATTATATGAATGTTTACATCGTTAGGGGATCATTCAGTTCTAAATAAATTCCCTGTTACTTCTTCAGTTTACATAATTTTTGTCTTGGACTCGAAAAAACAAGTCATCTGGTTAATTGTAAGCTTTACTGGATAATTTTTGGTTCTCTGCCCTTCACACTGAAAAGCTGCTTATATTAATCTCAAAAGCAAGAATATGTGTCAATAGCTAAGTTGCATGGAAACGGGTACAGGTACTATTACCGGTGTCAGGTGCTGGTGCAGGTAAGGGGACAAGGCAAATTTGTAAAATGTAGGGTATAAGGACAAGGCTAAACACACATATATATTGCTTTGAGTATGAATATTGGTCCTAAGTACCCGGGTAACAGAGACCAAGATGGAGGTCTTAAAATAAGTACCTGGTATAAAATTCCACGGGTTGGCAGAGTATGAATATTGTCAAACACCTCGATGGTACTTGCAAACTGTGTCAAGGGTATCAAGTAGTTTGGAATACAACCTGAAAATTGTAGAGGAAACAATCAGTATGGAATATATACAAGTTTAGAAGACTACATTTAATGTTAAAATCCACATATTCTAACATGCTACAAGTTGCTTTGAGAACCAAATTTCCATCAATAACCGTTCAGAAGGGTAAAAAAAATAAATTAAAGGAAGGTGTTATATCTTCATGATATGGAAATAGAGCATGATTAAAAATGCCCATTTTCACTGTTATTATCAATGCTTTAAAAAATTGAAGTCCTTCTCACTTCTGATGATGGCAATATATCAAGTCAATATACCAAGAAAAGTAACCAAATGTGACATTAAACCCACCATAACTTTAATACAAGCAATTTACATGGGCATCAGCTATCGGCGTCACAACAAAAGATTGAATGTAGCTAGCAAGGATGTTATGAAATTGAAATAAACTTTATAAATTATCAAAATCGAGAAGTAGATTTCTAACAGACATTGTATCGAACAGGTTGTGGGCACGAACAGACGAAACATATTACCTATGGGCTGCTACAGAAAAATGGAGACTAGGGTTTTAAATCATCGAGGATAAAATCTTGAGAGACGGATGAAGATAAGACGGAAATTTTTTCATGAAAGCCATCTTATAAAATAGATGGGATCAATAGAAATCATCTTTGAATGCTTTTTAAGATAAATCATCATATTAATGGTTTTAACTTTCAATCAATCATTTTTTATCAATTTCTGCTCGATTAATATCCAAAATAATCAAACTATCTCACTTAACACGATGTGTAATTAATGAGGATAGTTTAGATAAGTAAGATATTAATTGAGTAAAAATTAGACAAAAATTAGCTAATTAAAAACTAAGCCTACTAATAAAGTTGTTTACATATAAAAGAACCTCAATAAATGGTTTCTTTATATTTAACAAAAGTGGTTTTCATGAAAAAAAAACCGTTTAGTTCCGGTTTTTGGATGGGTAGGGGGGACTGTCAAAAATGTCAGATTTTTAACAGCTTTCCCCTAAAATCAGATTTTTAGCTAATTAAAAGCTGGTATTTTTGACAGCTTTCCACCTTTTACGTATCCAAAAAACCAATCCAAACAGCTCCTAAATGTTGGATTGAAATGTCCTTACAGCCTAAGGGCTATTTGGCAAACCCTTTCAAACCGAGCTAGTCGGGTTTTATTTTTAAACCGTAGGGGGTTGTTCAACTTTAGTATGATTAAGAGACTCCAAAGCAAATTTAAAAAAAAATTCTAAACTTCTAATCTAGCTTTTTCTAAACACAGAACTTTATTAAAACTAGATCTTGTTTGAATCTCTCCAGTTGTAATAATTTACCAAACAGGCCCCGGGCTCAAATGTATAAATTCATCCCTGTCCTCGTCCAAGGAATCGTGAATGGCTTGCCCACGGCCCGCGCATCTAATCCCGAGACATAAATCCAAACCTCTGCCCCCACTGTCCGAGAGATATAAAATTAAAATATTCCCAAACCGCCCTTTTCCTGTCCTATTAAAGCGCACTTCCACGTCACTTTCCCACCGCAGAAGCACGTGCGATGCAAGTGCTTCAATTCTCTAGTTCGTAGCCTTGATCCAGACCCACGCTCCCAAGGTCTCTCCTCGTTGTCTCCATGATTCCGTCGTCTTCCTCCTCTAAAATTATATTTTATATTTTATTATTTCTGTAATAATCCCTTTTAAATAAAAGAAGAAGAAAAAAAAATTCTAATCTGAGCTCTTCTGAAACCTTAACAATATGCCCTAATCGTAATAATCCGGGAGTCGAGAGGGAGGGCGATGGCAAAGATCGATGCCGACACTAGCTCGTCCTCGTCCTCGTCCTCCTCTTCATCAGTCCCAAACCCTAACCCTAGCACTAACCCTAGCTCAGTCAATGCCGACCGTCGCCTCAGCTCAGGAAATTCCCCCAACGCTCCTCCGGCCGCCGGCCCACCCCGCCCACCGCTCGACTCTCCCCTCTTCGCGACGGTCCCCTCCGCCCCGCCGCCGCCCGGCTCACCGTATATCCGTCTGCATGATCCCTCGGACTCCCCTCTCGGCGGCATCCTCGACTCGAGCATTTGGTGCTATCCCCTCTATTCTCGGCGGCGGAAGCTTCTCGTCGGGCCGAGACCCGCCGTCAGCACCCTCGGGCCGCCGGCCGCCGGCCCGCCAGAGCGGGCGCGGCGAGAACGAGTGCGGTTCTCGAGCTGGCCGACGTCCTAAGGCCTCCAAATCGAGGGAAGGAGAAGGTTGAGAGAGATCATCAGGCGGTTTCGTCTTCCTCCGCTGCTCGAGCTGTGAAAGGAATCAGTCGACGAGCTGACAGTTCTTTGATTTTCGTAGTTGTGAGTTGAAAAGATCTCTTCTTTGTTCTTTCTTGATATAGCAAGTAATTAGTTCCTGATTTTGCTTTGTTCTCATTTATTGCAGCTTCTAGGCGTATCTTTATTATCTACTTCTATTGCAGTTTCTCAAAGAATGAGAGTTTCAGAACTTGAGGTACTGACCTCATTCTTTTACTCCACGATAGTTTTTCCTGCAGAGTTCGTTGTGGATTTGGTGATGTTTATTGTCTTTTACAGATCGAGATTATTAACATCCGTAGTGTATGTAATGGAAATGGTATTCATGGTCAGGACGGAGTGGAAATTTTGCAGATAGTGGATAATGGTTCTAGTTTTGGTAGTATTGACGGTAGAATGGTTGCTTTGTACACTGTGTTGTTATCTTTATTGACACCGTTTGTACTGTTTAAGTACCTTGATCGTCTCCCTCGGATAAAGACCCTCTCCGAGAGTTCGAAGAATAGTGAGGAGGAAGTTCCGTTGAAGAAGAGGATAGCCTACAGGGTGGATGTCTTCTTCTCGGTTTATCCATATGCTAAGCTTCTTGCGCTTCTTTTTGCTACAATATTTCTCATTGGATTTGGTGGGTTGGCCATGTATGCAGTGAGTGACGGTACCCTCTCTGAGGCTATCTGGCTTTCTTGGACTTTTGTAGCTGACTCAGGAAACCATGCTGATAGGGCCGGATTGGGGCCAAGAATTGTTTCGGTCTCAATTAGTTCTGGGGGAATGTTGATATTTGCAATGATGCTTGGGCTTGTTTCAGATGCAATTTCAGAGAAGGTGGATTTTTGGAGGAAGAGAAATCATATACTAATCCTTGGATGGAGCGACAAGTTGGTAAGATGCTTGAGCAAGTTTTTATATTGAAATGTTTTCAGTTACGTTGGATGTGATTTTTCCGTCATAGAGTTGCATTTATAATGCACAAGCATATATTGCTCATATCAAACAGATATGTAGGAGGTATTAATGGGCTATTACACATAACAGTGGATTTCTGGTTTACTGCCTAATTTATATGTTTTGCCATTAATTCTTCATTCTTTTTTTTTTTTTGCAATTGTATGACGTAGGTATTTCTTCATAAATGATATATGATCATTCTTGATTTGTATAATTCAAATTTTTTTGCTGGAAACTTGTTGTAGGCTATTAAATTCGCTCTTTGTCGGTTCATATTTATTGGTTATTATGCAGAACTATGACCTTCTGGTCTATTAATTCACATGTTTTACCAGCTGTGTTTTTGCTTATTTTTTCACATGTTTATAATTTTTAACTTTTTTTCTTGGAAGATTGTTATTTTTTTAAAGCCACACTATTTTTCTGGTGTATTGATTGACGACTTTCTAGATGTTCTGTTACAGGGTTCCCTTCTTAAACAGTTGGCAATCGCTAATAAGAGTGTGGGTGGTGGTGTAGTGGTTGTACTGGCAGAAAGGGATAAGGAAGAAATGGAGATGGACATAGCGAAGCTTGAATTTGACTTCATGGGAACATCTGTTATTTGTAGGAGTGGTAGCCCTCTCATACTTGCTGACTTGAAAAAGGTATCTTAGGTGATCTAATACATTTTTTAAATGATTTATAACTATGGTGTGTTTTCATGTTTTCTATATGTTGAGTCCTTTAACTGCACGTTGGCAGGTTTCAGTTTCTAAGGCGCGTGCTATCATTGTTTTGGCAGCTGACGAAAATGCAGACCAAGTCAGTGGAACCTTCACTTCTTATTCACATATAAAGTATGACCTTTTTTATGGAATTGTTGATCTGTTATTGAAATTTATTTTGCTGTTTCTTTTCCTTCCCTAGAGTGATGCACGTGCTTTGCGGGTTGTGCTGAGCCTTACTGGTGTCAAAGAGGGCTTGAGGGGTCATGTTGTCGTGGAAATGAGTGATCTCGATAATGAGCCTTTAGTGAAGCTTGTTGGAGGCGACCTCATTGAAACTGTTGTAGCTCATGACGTGATTGGACGTTTAATGATCCAATGTGCTTTACAACCTGGCCTTGCGCAGGTTAGTTCTGCACTGATCTGCTTGTGTGTTTCAAAGTGCCAAATTATTGCTATATTGTCATTACCTTTTCCAGTATACGTTATGATGACACATCACTTCCTCAAAGGACTACCTTCATCACTTCCTCAAAGGACTACCTTCATGGCTCTATTTAACAAGGTTTTAAATGTCGGATGTCGGGTTCATGTCGGATGGCTGAAATCCATGTCGGATAGCGGAAATCGGGGATACATCGGGGGACATTGACTAAATATCGGATTGTCATATCGGGTAGTGTGCATATGTATAATATCATGTCCTAAATGTAATCTAAGCATTCATAAATTCAATATAAGCATACTTTATAAATTCTATAGACTAGACATATAAAAAAATAAATAATATATGGATTTGGGTTCATAAATTCTTTCTATCGGGTTCATAAGAAATATTTAAACATGAGAACGGGTCAAACGGGTTTGGGTATTTATCACTAAACCCAAACCCGATAACAAAAAACAGATCTTAAAAAAAAGTATCATATCGGCCGATTTTTAAAGCTAAAAAATAGGCCGATATGCCCGATATGACCATGATATTTCCGATTTGACCCTGAAAACCGACATATGAGTTGAAAACGTCTATATCGTGTCGGTCAAGCCCTCAAACCAATATCTCGGTCGACATGTCCGACATGTCGGCTGACATTTAAAACCTTGCTATTTAATTTAAGATAACCTGTAATATTATATTGTCACAAGGACATTGGTTTGTATTATAGTTAACATCTGAGCAGCCTTTACTAAGATTAATATTCTATGCTGGTTGTGTTTCAACATCTCTTGCCAGTAGGTTGTTTCTTTGTGCCTTCGGTGTCTCCATTTCGTTGACTCCACATGCAATTCATGACATATATCTAGCTAGTGTGGATGAACGACTTTTAGTTTAGGCTTGTGAAACCATGTGTTCAATATTTTTTTAAATAGGAGAAATTCGAGACAGATCAGTTATTATCAAGAGAATTAATATATACATATTTTCTATTGTTGGATTTAATCTAATAAATCTATTTGTGGGCACATATGATTAATCATTGTGTATTGCTATCTTTCAGGATAACCCACTGAAGTGATCAATTAAGTTGGGTTAATTTGGTATTTAAATGATCATGGGGTCATATGTGCAGATACCAGGTTGTAATTGTAATTTATTGAGGGGCTAAATTATAAAAGTACAACATCTATAAATAAGGGGTTATGGTCCCTAACATGGGGTTACATTTGCTAATTCTCTTCACCCCCATCTTGAGAGAAATTCGGCTAGAGAGAACCCTAAGGTTAGAAGATCAAAACCCATCTCAAGATCAAGCAATGGATTCAGGTATAA